CTTGTAGCCAGGTGTGGTGGCACACACCTGTAATCCCAGCACTCGGAAGGCTGAGGCAGGAAGATTGTTGCCAGTTCGAGACTAGCCTGGGCTACAAAGTGAGCTCAAGGCCAGCCTGAACTGCATAGTGAGATCTTGTCTCAAAGAAAAAACAACAAAAAAAAAACAAATTCACCTTGATGTCGCTGCCCATGTGAGCTCCCCTCCTGTGAATTCTAAAGTCCCTTCCGTAGAGAGGACTCTGACCCCGAACACTAATAACAAAGGCAATTTATTAGAATCCTCCTAGGTCTGTACCTCTTGGAAGCCCAGCAGCAAGCCGCAATAAGCAGCCATCTATAAGGATCAAAGAGAATTTGCAGCCAGCCTACCATCCTCACTGGGGATTTCCAGATTAGAAATCTCAGCCGGGCGTGGTGGCACACACCTGTAAATTTAGCACTCAGGAGGCTGAGGCAGGAGGATCATTGAGATAAAGGGCAGCCTGGGCTATAAAGTGAGCTCAAGGCCGGCCTAAACTGCATAGTGAGACCCTGTCTCAAAAAGACCAAAACAAAACAAAAAACCAAGAAATGTAACCAATGTGGTACTGAACCTTTTCACCTACTATGACAGCTCCTTTTTTTGAGACAAGGTCCACTTTGTAGTGCAGGTTGGACTTGAACTCCCTATATAGCCCATGCTGGCCTTGAACTTGCAGAGAACTTCCTGCTTCAGCCTCCGAGTGCTACGATTACAAGTGTGCACACCCAGGCCTGGCAACTGTGATAGTTCTTATTTGACATTAATTAATTATGGCAAGTGTAGGTACCCTATTTCTCAAACTGCACTGGAAATCCCTCATGGGGAATTCCTCATACTTTTTTCTACTCTATTTCCCACAGTTCTAGACACTTAATACATAATGCAGAAGTCACTTAGGTGTCATGAACATAGCCATTTTTCAGGGCAGGTAACTTTTTCAACGTGATCTCAGTATATTTTGCCTCCGTAACACATCAAAAACATACCAGGCATGGTGACACACCCATAACCCCAGCACTTGAGAGGCTAAAGCAGGAACATCCTGACTTCAAGGCCCTCCTGGGCTACAAAGGAAGCTCCAGACCAGCTTGGACTATACTGTAAGGCTGTGTGTGTCCCCACAAAATAAAACAAAGGCCAAACATGCAGAATGTGGCTCTAATTCCAGCTACTCAGGAAGCTGAGGCAGAATGTGGAGCCCAGAAGTTCAAAGCCAGCCTAGATAACATGGCAAGACCAACCTAAAAAACAAAACAAAAACCAAAGCAGAGATGGTGGGCATGGGAGGCTGAGGCAAAGGATCCCACATTTGAGTCCAGCCCGATCTGAGCGCAAAACCCTGTTTCAAAATATAAAAAGCTGGAGATACAGCTCAGTTCAAAAGCAGAAAAAAAAGCAGGGGGGGTGGTTTCCCTGAAAAGACAAACGGCTGGGCTTGGTGGCTTTATCTGAAATTCTAACACTCAGGAGGCTGAGGCAGAAGAACTCCAAGTTAGAAGCCACCCTGGGACACATAGTAAGTTCAAGGCTAAGCTCAACTACATAGTAAGATGCCATCTCAAAATAATAACAATAATAATAGTGAGGCTAAGACAGGAGGATCACTGCAAGTCTGAGGCCAGCCTGGGCTACAAAGTGAATTCCAGAACAGAATGAATTGCATAGCAAGACCCTGTCTCAAAAAGATCCCCCCCAAAATGATGATGATACCTGTAGACGTAGCTCAGTACTGCCTGAGTTCAACTCCCAGTACCACAAAAATTAAAATTTTAAAAATTTAAAAAGAAATGAAGCCAGGTGTGGTGGCGCACACCTGTAATCCCAGCACTCGGGAGGCTGAGGCAGGAGGATCGTTGTGAGTTCGAGGCCAGTCTCGGCTACAAGGTGAGCTCAAGGCCAGCCTGAACTGCATAGCGAGACTCTGTCTCAAAAAGACAAAAAAAAAAAAAAAAAGAAAGAAAGAAAAGAAAAGAAATAAAAACGCTTATTATTGTGTATTTTCAAGCTACAAAATGAGTGCAGGGCCAGTCTGAGTTGCAATATCGAGACCCTGTCTCAAAAACACAAACACACACACACACACACACACACACAGAACTGTGTATTATTTCAAAGCCTAAACACTCATCTACCACTGTAAAAGCACTCTTAATAAACCAGTTTAAATCAAAATATCAGCCCAGCATGGTGGCACACATCTGCAATCCCAGCACTTAAGAGGCTGTGGCAGAAAGACTGCTCAGAGTTCAAGCCAAGCCTGAACGATCACTGAGACCCTGTCTCAAAAAGACAATAGAGCCCTCCCCAAAATAATGATAAATTCACAACTTGTTTGCCAATTATGAAGTTAACTGACTAGAAAGTCTATTTCACAGCATTTCTCTAATAAAAGATATAAAAAACTGCCTGGTGGTGGCAGCACAATACAATTTCTCAGCAAAGGTATTCTTACACTGCAGAAGTAAAACACAATGAGAATTTTGAGGGGCACTGTGACAGGAGTAACAAGAATATGCACATTATTTCTAGCAAATCAAAAATAAAGACCCCCTCTAATTGAGTGTGGAGGCACACACGCTCAGAAAAGCTGGAGGCAACTTAGGATAGACCTTGTCTCAAGAATTAAAATATATAAATAAAAGGGCTAGGGGTGTAGCTCAGTGCTGACGGCCTGGTTCAATCCCCAGTAGGGGTTGGGGATAACAGACCCTTATCCAAGGAGACTTATACCCTAAGTGTAGAAAACAGCCTCACCCAAACTCCTAGATACAGGAGTGACCTGTTACAGGGAGAAACAAACTCACTAGAACACATTACTACATTAAATTTTCTTCCAGCTGGGTATGGTGGGGCACGCTTGTAATCCCAGCACTCAGGAGGCTGAGGCAGGAGGGTCGTTGAGTTCAAGACCAGCCTGGGCTACAAAGTGAGCTCAAGGTCAGCCTGAACTGCATAGCGAGACCCTGTCTCAAAAAGACAAAAATAAATAAATAAATAAATGTTCTTCCAGCAGGTTTAGCAGCCTGGCAAGGTAGCCTAAACATGCTATCCCACCACTTGGGTAAACTGAGGCAGGAGGACCCAAGTTTGACTCCAGCTTGGGCAATTTAGGGAGACCTTGTCTCAAGATAAAAAAAAAAAAAGTAGGCTAGGAATGTAGCTCAGCAGGAAGGCCCTGGGTGAGTACAGCTCTTCTCTCAAGAGAGCTCAAAGTCTAGAATAAAGACTTCACAGACAGCCAGTGGGGATGACACATGCCTACAATCCCAGCACACGACAGTCCTGAGGCAGGAGGACTGCTGTGAGGCCAGCCTGAACTGCACAGTGAAACCCTGTCTCAAAATGACCCCTCCAAAAAAAATTCACTGAAAATCTCTTTTTAAGTAAAGAGAGCATACCAGTACCTACAACAGAAAAAACAATGTCAAATATTAAGATCTACAGATTAACCTGTAGGTTTTTACCTTGTTGCTATTTCTTTGTTTTCAGAAGCCTACCCATGTCCATGTCCGCCCCAAGAGTGGCCCAAGACTCCTAGACTCGTGATCTCCCTGCCTCTGCCTCCCACCTCCTAAGCCTCTAGGGCCACAGTGGTGGTTCACTGTTACCACCAGGCTGCACAGTTACTCTTTCTCGTTACTGTTCCAAGTGAAAGCTACACACAAGAAGCCATAAAACTTGTCAATCAAAGCCTGTATCCTTTACATGTTTTCTCAAACTAAGTTTACTCAGCTACATAAATTTCTGAAATACATAAATCTAGGGTTTGCGGACAGTTAATTCCCAGGTGTCCAAGAAGCACTTAGGACGCCTGTAATCCCAACACTAGGGAGGCTGAGCCAGGAAGACTGCTGAGCAGGAGGCCAGCCTGAGCTATACAGTGAGATCCTGTTTCAAAAAAAAAAAAAAACTAAGAAATTTCATTAACTCGAAAATCAAGACAAAAAAAAAAAGAAAAAAAAAATCAAGACAAAGAACTTTTAAGTCTCGCAAATGTAAAGGCAGGGTTAGATTGGTGGCCAGGAACAGAAAAATTACATTTGTTTTTATTTATTTAAAAAGCCACTAGCCAGAGGCTGGGTGTGGTGCTTCATGCCTGTAATCCCAGCACTCGGGAGGCTGAGGCAGGAGGACTGTGAGTTGGAGACCAGCCTGGGCTACAAAGTGAGCTCAAGGCCAGCCCGAAGTGTATAGTGAGACCCTGTCTCAAAAAGACCAAATAAATAAATAAATAAATAAAAAGCCACTAGCTATGGCGTGGTGGTGTCCACCTGTAACCCCAGTACTCAGGAGGATCGCCGAGTTCAAGGGTGCAACTACACAGACCCTGTCTCAAAAAAAAAAAAGAAAGAAAAAAAATCACCAGCCCATACAAAACAGCTCCATTGTGAAGAGAGATTCAAATAACTGGTTCTAAGAACAGGAGTAAAAACAAATTCTCGCCTGTTATTATTCCACTCACAGTAGGGAGAAGGCTGAGGCAGGAGGAATTGCTGCAAGCTTGAGGCCAACCCGGGCTACATGGTGAGGTCAAGACCAGCCCAAACGATAGGGCGAGACCCTGTCTCAACCCACCGTCCCCGGCCTCCCGCGTCAAATCCTCATTCCTTGGGATACTGCACTCGATTCCTTTTTTTAGGAATTACCTGGAATTGCTTCTATTCTTTCAGCATCCCGTTATTGAAAATAATCACCATTCCCCCCTTAAATGGACCTAGAAACCTTCAGCCCGGTCGTTAATAAATGTGTCACTGGAAAAGACTGCGTAAATCTCACCGTTAATACTACAACAATGAGTTCTGTATTAGCACGAATGTTTCTACGTATTTACACACAAACTGTCAGCCACATAAAGACTGGCCTTTAACTTGGGTTTTTCCAACATACAAAACACGAAAGGTCAGTTACTACTAATCTCTGCTTACTACATCTATCTCACAATTAACCTAGGACGTGCAGCTCGGCAATTCTCTTACACGCGTGGTCTGTGTGCACCTGCCAAGCCCGCTCCACTTAACAGTGTCTTTCTAACGTTCTCCTCTCGCTGATCCAAAACCAAACCTCTTTCCTCAGGGTCCCCGGTTAAGAAGGTGCGTGAATTTCAAAAGGCACGCGGCGCCAGGGAGGAGAGCGGGATTATGCAGCTCGTAAAAATCAAGGGCCAGAGAGAGGTCCCCGGCCCCGCATCGCTGGGATCCGAGACAAAGCTCGGAGCCGCCGCTCGCCGCCAACGGTACAAAGCGCTGCGGCGCGGGGCGGAGGGCGTTAGGGGCGGCCGGCCGGCGGGAGAGGCCGTTAACGCCGCCACGGCTCGCGCCCG